TGGGCTGCAAACTCACCATGTCAAAACACTACGTATGTGGAAACAAAGACATTTGTAACACCCTCGCTGAAGTCAAAAGTATTGAAAAATGCAATACTAATAAACACTAAAACTAGTATCAAAATTAGATACTCATTTGAGCAGGTGCCAGTACTCAAAAAAGTCACATTCACAGGACAGAAATGAATCTTTCCTGAATGTGTTCAGAATGATGTTGATCTGTATCAAGTGTCAGAGCACAGACTATTAACTCACATGGACCAACATGAACCTACTGCAACACTGACAATTACACACAAACATTCAGGAAGTAGTGGAGAGTTCTAAAAGAGAATAAAAAAATGTTGGCCTTAGTTTACATTATGGTTGTTATGTAACACAGTTATGCATTTAAGACTACTGTAGGCCAATGTCAAACCTGACAGAAAGTAAAATGATAAAATTCACCAAAATTTAAAAATGCTAAAAACTAGGCAAGATTTTTTTGTAAAAATCTTGAATATAATGATGTGAACTATGTTTTAGTGAAATGTGCAGTCTAACCTGTCATATGCACTTTAAAGGTGCAATGTGTAATTTTCTGGTGGATGGTCCATCAACGGCTTTTTTTTCTCCATGGAGATGTTGTTGCTTTGTCTGGAATGTTTCACAGTATGGCATTAAACCTTTCTATCTTCATGGAGACCAAACCAGACCAAGTTACAGGGTCAGATCTGTGGAGCGGCGACCCCTCTCAGTCGGAATGTTTGTTTTTCTCTGTATTTTTGAGCTGTAAAACCACCTGTGATTGAATAAATGTAAAGTAGAGCTGCTTAATGTCTGTTCTGTGCAACATTCCAGGCATAGCAAATATCCATAGAAACAAGCAGGTGACAGACCCTCATCCAAAAAGTGACAGACACTCAGTTAAGCTCTGTCCTCAAGTCCCCAAATGTTGCCATGGAAATTTGCCCTCCAAGGAATGTAGACATCAAGACACGATACTTTTAAAATTATCACTTTATGAATAGAAAATGGTGCGTCTTTGTCAGTCTGATGGCGTTGCTATGACGACAACGTTATAGATCAGTTGCTCAATGTACTGCTCCACTGGGCCCCACACTGCCATGAAAAACCCGCAGTAAAAATACAGATCCATCCCCAAAGACGACACGCCGGCTCCAGAGCTCATGCACAAGTACAACTCAAGAATTTAAAACAATATTTGAGTCTGAAAATAAGCGCGCGTGGGTTTTGCATGTCGGTGCGGTAATGACAGTGGAGCAGAGAGCTTTCCATAGCGGCTTCTAGTCTGGTAATCCCCCGTGCTCGACTGTCTGTGGGCCAAAGCACAACTGAAACACCCAGAAGAACACACGACTGGAATGAGCTGGCACAGTTTGAAAGTGACACTGGAATACATGTAAATCGTGCACTGTGGAACTTTTGTCCATGATATTGCTTTGCCTAGAATGTTCAACATCTCTAGGACTGATCTTAAGAGCACATAGGCTCGTACACTCCAGTGGACCACTGAAGAACCTTCCAGAACCACTGAGCAATGATACATATGGTTATAAGAAAATACTATGATTTCATGTTGAAAATCACATTCTATTGTGACAGTGTTTTCTTATTATCATCATCATATCAGAATCAGTATTGAGTCTATTCTTTAGTATCAAAATTGAGTTTGACATGTTAGTATCAATAATAGCTTGTTTCCATGAAGACGTCAGGGCTTAACTGGAATGTTCCACATTATGGCATTAAATTTATCTCCGTGAAAACATGCACCCGTCAGATCTGTGGAAAGCAGCATGATGTAATGCCATACTGTGGAATATTCCAGGCAAGGCAATATCATCTTCCTGGAGAAGTTACTCTGAATGGGAGATGGTAGAGGCTCAAATCTTTGCGAGAAAAACATGTTCTCTGTAGAAAATGAACTGTCCCTGTGTCTCCACTGGCCAATCACAAAAGACAGTTTGCAAATCGCAAAGACTACGATTTACTGATAAAATCTCATTTCCAAACAACAGTGTGTGAAAGCTGCAAACATTCATAGTTTAGATTACGGATGTAACAATAACTGAAATATCATGACATCGTATCGTCAACAGTACTTAATTTCCTACATAATAAAATATCTGTTATTAAGCACTTTTAAATCTTATTTGGAATATGACAGTAATGATTCACACTAAAGACTAATCAAGGTAAAAAAGGAAAAATTTGCATATGTACAATTGTGTGAACCTCTCCACAATATCACAATAAATATTGTACCCTGAGATGCATATTGTCAGAATATTGTACCGTGAGATTTGAACATCATTATCTCCCTGGTTTAGATCTCTACTCACCCTCTAGAAAAAATTTCTGAAATGTCCATGTGCATCAGATGCCCTCCCTGTGCGTCAGATGCCCTCCCTGTGCGTCAGATGCCCTCCCTGTGCGTCAGATGCCCTCCCTGTCTCTATGGGGTCTTACTTTGTATGACACCTGCTAACCCTGTAGTTCAGATCTCTACACAAGTTTTGAAATGCATGTGGTTTTGTGGCTTTATTAAGTTTAGCGTTGATCTTTTAGTGTGCTCTCAAATAGAAAAGAAACCAGAGGTGTTTCAAATACACTGAGAACTTCTGTACTGACTTTAAAAGTATGAGCTATCAAATTGTGAATACTAAATCTGATCAAATGTTGTTAACCATTTGGAGTTGTTCAGGCCTTAGTATACAAAAATTAAGAGCATCATTTTAGCCAACAGTCACCAAAACAACTTTAGAGCTGAGAAACACTTCCTTCTTGAAATCACCGTCCAGGACCTTTTGTCTAATCAATACAAGAATCATATTTCAGAACAGGTTTATACAGATCTAAACTACAGGGTAAGCCATTTTCACCCACAGTGAGACAGGAGGCGTGTTGTTTGTGGAGGAAATGATGGGACTTGTGATTAATCTAGTTAGCTACTTATAATCCTCAAGAGATGATGTCACTTTCGGGTCCAACTGGCTGAACTGTAGTTTCGGTCTTTTGCCACAACGCTTCCTGTGTCAGACCCTGAAGTGACATTAAACTTAACAAGTCTAATTATGCTAATGAGGAGCGTAGAGTGGTCAGGCGTGTTCAGTTTACAACAGCAGCCCACCAGCACAGTGTGGACTCAATGTACAGAAGACACCAACAGAGCACTCACTCAGCTTTTTCAGTTTCAATACAGAGACTTTCAGTATCTGCCAATACACAATATCATCCGATACCAGTGCAGAGACTACAAACAGCATTTATTTCCAAAAATACAATAAGACTAAACTGATCCAAAAGTGTTCAGCATCTCTGAGGTAACTACAGAACAACTCTGTATAAAAGTTCAACCATTCTGAGACTTTCTGTGCCAACTCCAGTAAACAGTCTTATTACATCAATTCATGTCATACATACAGTACATCAAATTATATGTTCAACTGAAGCTCATATCTGATCCAGTATCAGATCTGCACATGCCTGTAGACGTTGGCTGGATTTTTATAGCGCCTTTCATTAGACCTTTTTTGCATATTTTCCACCAGCTTCATAAATCTGCCCCATCACCAAATCTTCAACCAACAAGCTCCACAAAGAATAAACGTTCTAACATGAAACTATCAAGGGAAGAAAGACGAAAGCTTAAAAGAAACAACGACCACACATTAGTGACACACAGAAAAAAACTAACCTTACGGTAAGCTCGAGATGTCTAAAACTGCACAAATCTGTCTGTTTATGTTAATATCTACAACATGAAATAGATTTTTTATTTTAATTCTAGAATCAGTCTGAGAGTGAATAAGTTACTTCTGTTTTAATTATTGCCATAACTTAACATTATTATTACTAAAAAGAACTTCTGAAAGGAGAAATCCAATGTGTTTTTATTACAATAACTTCAAAACGAGTCAAGGTTCCACAATGCTTCTTTACATGAACCCGATCAGCCTCCTAATGATTTAAAGCAAAAGTCATACTGGGCAATGTAAAACATCTTATAATCTGATTCACAAACTGTGACATCACTGTGTGCAGGTCAAATGTTGTCACTTGTGGCTGCCAGTGTTGGGGAGTAACAGATTACATGTACCGGAGTTACATAATCAAAGTACAAATTATGAGTAACTGTATTCAGTTACAGTTACTGTTTCAGTGAGTTGTAATTGGATTACATTTACTTTGTTGAAATAAATGGATTACATGGCGGTACTTTCCTGTAAACCAGGACTAAAACCAGGACTAAACCAGGACTAAGACCAGGACCAATTTGAAGAGAACAAACAAGAATGTGGTTTGTACATTCATGTAGTTTTAAAAAGCATGACAATATCAAGTAATCCAAAGTATTCAGATTACGTTACTCACTTTAAGTAATTTAATGGATTCCGTTACAAACTACATTTTGGGGTCTGTAATCTGTAATCTGTAATCTGTAGGGGAATACATTTTTCAAGTAACCTTCCCAACACTGGAGGCTGCACACTGTTGCACACTGTTGACAGACCAGTGCACATCAGCTCAGTCTCCTGTGACGTCCCTGTATGAAGCGGTCTAATGTCCACATGTGCACTGTCACCCTCTTCTGTCCCTGTATTCAACTGTCCACGCATGTCCTTATGTCCTCCTCTGACACCCACCCACTGGCCTGTGTTTACATGGACTTTTCAGCGGGAAACCCCAGTGCAGTGACATCTGTGGGCTGCAGAGTTAGCCCCGGGCCTTCTGCGCTCTAACCCCCGGGACAGCGAGTGCATTCCGCCGTCTCCCCGTGCACTTTCACATGCATTCACTCCCCGCGTCCACAGCTCCTCCGTGACAGCTGTGAGCGTGGATTTGGAGCCGTGTCCCCGGTGCAAACACGGAGCACAGCACGGGGGCTTCCTGCTGCACAGCGGAGCTAACGGGAGAAGCGAGCGAACCGCGTCCCCTCTGCGCTCCACGGCGGGCAGGAGCCGAGGGACGGGCGGCAGACGCGGGCGGCATCTCACCTGGATCCCCGGTGATGTGGCGGGAGCGTGTCTAAGCGGCACTCGGCCTCATGTCTCCAAAATCTGGACCAAAAGCGACGATCTTCACAAGTGTTTCTCTGCAGCCATTTTGAGCCGAGCCGAAGTCAGGAGCACGCGGGGGTGCAAAGTCAACTGTTGTTTTAAATTCACGTCTCACCATAAAATACACTTTTAAATTTTATAATATCCTGATTGAGAAGAAATTTTTTTATAAGAGTATTTATTTAAGTTTTTATTCTGCTGCAGTTAGCTTTAATTATATTTCCTACTTGAGCGTAGCACCCCCGCTGTACAGAAATGGTCTGGTCCCAAACGCTCTGGAGTCTGTGGAGAGGAGCAGCCAATCAGAGGCCGAGGACAGAGCTGTAGTATTCAACACTGAACTGAACACTACAGAACAGAGATGAACACTACAGGACAAATCTGAACACTACAGGACAGATCTGAACACCACAGGAGGACAGAACTGACACTGGAGCTGTCACACTACAGGAGGAAACGTACACCCATTTGTTTTGTGAATTGCTCATACACTCAAATCTTTTGGAATAGCATATTTTTGTTTGTGAATAGAAAGCTTGATATAAACCTACAATTTCATATAAAACATGTACTTTTTGGTGTCTTTGAGAAAGATATTCCTGCAAATAAACGTGTGCTGAACTTAATCTTATCTAATCTACCTAACTAAACTAATCTATTAAAATTTAATATCCCTTGCTTTAAATGTTTTAGTCAGAAACCCAAATTTGTTGTATCTCAGTGTCTCTTATATAAATTCTCAAATTAATTCACAAGTTCCAGAGCCATGAAATCAAAATCACTTTGTATGGAATTTGTATATATAAAGTATTTATTATATTTCTACATTTGTATAATGCATAATGCAGATATTACACATGCTGAGTTTTGTGGATATGAATTCTTAAGCCTCTAGCAATGTTATTGTTCATACACTGTATATTTGAAAAAAAATAAATAAAATAAAATAAAAATATGTACAGGAGGCGTATTGAGCTAGTATTTCTTGAATTCTTGCAGTGATAGTAGTAGTACAATGAAAGTTTAAAGTGTAGTACAATGAAAGTTTAAAGTTTAGTACAATGAAAGTTTAAAGTTTAGTTCAATAAAAGTTTAACTGTAAGGATTTATTGGCTAAATAAATGTGTAGTGATGTGGGTGGATGATTTAGATTAGGCTTTCGTTAAAACAATGATGCTCAAAACGACTGTGAATCATCACTTCATATAAGATAGATTATAATTAACAAATTAGTTTTCTTTTTTTTTTTTTTTTGCCCTTGTCTGTTTAAAAGAAAACATTTGATATTTGATTTGATTCATGCAGGCTAATGAGGCAAATATAATTTTATTGTTTTTTTTTTATACAATACAAACAATCCTGATTTCATCAGGATTTTAAGTTCATTTCCATATTGTGAGATTGACATAAAAGAAAGAATCATGTTAACATGGCCAAAACAGCCTGTATTGAAGTGTTTATGATGGATAAACACTTCAATACAGTATAGGCTACAGTTCTGTTTGTGTTCTGTAGGAGCAGGGAGTCATATATGCTCCAATATGATGTTGACACTTTATTTTTGATGTGTGATCTGTCTGCTCTTGTTTTATGTGTCTTATAAACTCATGTGGGCTGGGCACCTGAAATGGTGCATGACCCAAAATAAGAGTAAAATCAACTAAACTAGATTCTTTTTTCAGACCTAGGTTTCACAGTGGTCTTCCTAGCGGTGGTCTTCCTCACGGGGGTCTTATCTCATAGTGGTCTTCCTCACAGTGGTCTTCCTCACTGTGGTCTTATCTCATAGTGGTCTTCCTCACGGTGGTCTTGTGATGTTGCTGTGACGTGTCTGCTCAGCCCATTTAAACAGATTACTCCACTATGATCAATCTAAACAGTCAGGAATGAAAAAATCAAATAATCTATTCAAATCAATTATCGATGACCAAATGAACCTGGGCTCATTGAACTGGTCTCATATAATTATAATTTGTGTAGTGGACCTGCCTTTGGTCAGAGGTGAGCCCACAGAGGATGGACCCTGCTCCATAAATCTACTGTGACTGATGATGAGGACAGTGTAATGAGCAAAGCAAACAGAAAAGCAGAAATACATACATGTACTGCTTTTTCTGTGCATGTAACATCTAGAGATACATATTGTACTGACACTTTACAGCTGATGTCATCAACATTTCCCAGGGCTGTGATGCTAACTGTAAGCATGTTGTGTCTGAGACTTTGTCAGACTTTAATCTGATCTTTATTTTAACACTGACTAGAAAAAAACATATTTAACTGGAACTGGAACAAGTGAGCTGATTTTAACTGTCGAACAATCCATCCTTCATCTTTTTTACTCCAAAATCAAACTCAGGGAGCAGCACCAGGAAAAGGGACATCTGGCAGAAGAACAAACTCACAACAACTCACCCTTATGGAACAGATAATACTCCCTACAACTGTACAACTCACCCTTATGAAACAGATAATACTCCCTACAACTGTACAACTCACCCTTATGGAACAGATAATACTCCCTACAACTGTACAACTCACCCTTATGAAACAGATAATACTCCCTACAACAAAGCTGTGATTTTAGATTTTATTACTTATTTTTGTATTTGATTTTGACTTGTACATTTACATTTATATAATTATGTTTTCTTTGACACCTGTCTCTTGCTCTTTTTTGCGACTTATTTAGAATTTATTATTACATTTATATGTTTCTCTTTGTTATTCTATTATATTGTGATGTGTGAGCTGATGTGTCCAAATCATTTCCTTGTGGATCAATAAAGTTTAAGTTTAAAAAAAGGCTGCGCTCAGACTGCAGCCTGAAGTGACCCAAATCTGATTTTTTGGCTTCTATGTTCCTGTATCTGATCTTTTAATGACAGTCTGAACCACACAGATCCAATTTTTTCAAATGTGACCCATTACACTTATGGATCTGTGCTCCTGAAACTGATACATATCTGATCTTTTGACATGCGACTTCAGTGTGAACAGCCAAAGTGCATTCATCCACCTACACGTTATCAACAAGACACAAACGTCACTATTCTGCGCTGAAGTAGGCGAAAATTGTTAATGAACTCCGTGTCACTGAAGCGAAGCACATCACCACTCACCACTCTTGGCTCCGTCTCCACATCCACACGTTCCTTTCAACGGACGTCGCTGCCGCTGTCCCACAAAACACCACACCCAAAAACCTCGTCCTTCTCCTTCTCAATCTCCTCCTTAAAACAAGTAAGTTGTTCATGTTCTGACTCCGGTACAAGAGGAACTTTAAAATCTCCAGGTGCTCGATGCTGCGTCCATGTTTGGACAATTTCCATAAACACAGAGCACGCTCACTGCGGTTGACGTTGTTGTGTGCGACACTTTCGGGCCGTTTACTGTTCACACTGGAGTCACATACAAGTCACATTTAATTGGAAATGTGAACGACCTCAAAAAACATTGGATTTCACAAAAAAATCAGAATTGAGCGTTAAAGCCCTGCAGTCTGAACGCAGCCGAAACTCCTAAACAGGACACTGAATGCATGTACTGATCACAAGCTCCTGAAAATGTTCTCTTTAAATCATTTTACCTTTAATTTTCAGATTATATTAAAACATTTTTGGCAGTGTTTGGTAATGCATTGTGTCACCATGGTAACTGCTGAACATTTTACCATCCTCATATATGTATCAACTGGCAAGTCCCTGCTCTAGTAAACATTTTCCTTTAGCAAAATGCCATAAGTGAAAGCCACATGTTGTACCTGTTGTGCCAGACCACAGACTCTGCCTCCAGCTCCGAGTATAAACCATAAGACCATGATATCATCCGCAAACAGCGAGGATTTCTACCACTTCTGCTGCGTTCTGAGGAGCTGCGCACACAAGAGCTCCGGCATCACACTTCCCCTTCGCTCCTAAAATAAGCCCTCATCAGGTCAGAGAGCGGTCATGCGCACAGCCTTGTTTGTGGTGTTTGGGCTCGGGGCAGTTGCGCAGAAGCTCTAATGAAGTCCCCATTAATACATTACAATATATTAGCTGTGGATGAATCAGCCGTGACATAACGAGCCCCCGGAGCGCCCATATTTAGGCGTGCACACACTTCCTGTCACACGTGCTTTATTATGGTGGGGGCCGTGGAGCGTGGCGTACAGCAGTCACCAGGGGCCACACGCACACACACACACACACATGCACAGGGACAGGGTGTAACCGCGGTGACAGGTGGTGACACTTTCATTAGGTTAAGCAGCAGACACATTTAATCTCATTTGTGTATTTTATAATTTGCAAAAAAAATTAACCATGCACACACAAAGTCAAATAAATAAATAAATACATAAAAATACAGTATGTAACAAAACATACTACAAATACAACTGAACCAGAGTGTGGATTTTACCCTGCAGATAGAGGACATGTCCAAGTTTGTCTCATTCTCAGTTTATGTTCAGGCCTCATGTGAAGCTCAGAACATCCAGAATTCCCTCCCTGAGCTGCAGAGGCTGCACTAGCACTGACTCATGACTGGTGCAGGTGCTGGGGTTTAGGTAGAGACCGTTCAGATCAGAGAGACATTTTAGGTTTAATCACACTGGATTTCAGCATTGAACCTGGCAACACAAATGAGACTCATGTGAGGCTCATTCTGCTTTCTTGTCGGAGAATTGTCTTGAAAACAAAACAAAAATTTGAACATAAACATGACCAATAATGTTTTTGTAATGAAGAATAAATCAGTGTTACAAGTTATCAGTCCATCCATCCATCTTCTCCCACATTATCCTGGGTTGAGTCATGAGGGCATCAGTCTAAGCAGGAACTCTTGGACTTTCCTCACCCCAGACACTTCCTCCAGCTTCTCCCAGGCCAGCTGAGAGACACAGTCCCTCCAGCGCGAGGGTCGGCAAACTTTCTCCTCCAGTGAGCTACCTTTACAAAACAAAAATGCCAAAAAGCAACTTACTTTAACAGTTACGAGAAATTGAGTATAAGAGACTTAGATTGGGGACAGTTAGATGCCTATAAAATATAAACCATTATTCATTTA